TCAGTCGTATCGATACAGAAGTGACGCAAGCTCACAGTAAGCTTTTGGTAATGCAAAAATAATCGCCGTATTGAAATACTCGAGTGCCTAAAATCAGACGATTATTTTAAAGGGTATTTTCCATCTGGCAGCTGGAAAACAGTCTTTGCTGTTGCACAAATGGGCAGATCTCACCGGCCTCACTGAAGTGGTAGAGAAGTGGTAGTGTTATACTTATGCATTTCGTCCGGTGAGAGAGGTAACTGGAGCCCCTTTATTAAAAGATGGCAAAGGAAACCTACGGATATTGCAAATGCGGCGGTTGTAACTCAACCACCACCTCGCTAACAATTATCTCGCATAAAAGAAAAGAAATTTTTTTTTGAAAAACTATAGAAAATGACCTTCTCACTTCCTTAGGCTATGCTCAAATTGACAGACTTTTAGTTATATATTTTTTAGCTATTTATCAGTACCCGCTTTACAAATTATAATGTATTAATAATAAATTAATATTTAATGTGACCCGCTTGGGTGATTCTGTCTGTTGATTATTTTTACTATTTTGATAGGCTTTCCTTGACGCACGGTTATAAGGGTATAAATGGGTAGTTAACAGAACTTGAAATCGAATCGACCTTTTTGGGCAGACAAATAGAGACGAATTAACCGTGGGTGCATTGCCGGCGAGCGCGGAATCTTGAATATTTTGAACCTTGAATATGGCGTAAACCCACAAAACCGCTAAATCTAAACTAAAAATTTGGGACATCTCTAACCACAAAACTAACACAGAAGCCATGCCCAGCAGCGGCACATACATAGGCTATTACTTTATTTTTACTACTCACAATTTATGGTATTTGTGCGAACAGTGTCATACGTCGTCACTGGAAATACACCCTTATCTTTAGACTCTGGGATCTTGGACAGATCACTTCTATGATAAATATTGAAATCTACCAGGTTTAAAAAAAATTAACATAATCAGAAAGCATCGGTACGTAAATGCATTCAATTAAAGTAAGCAGTTGATAATCTACTTACATTTTGCAGAGGTGACGCATGAAATAGCGTGGCTCTTGAACCAGTTGCCACTTGTATCAGAGCCATATGCAGTAAATACGCTGAATAAGAGATCCTTGACGGCGCTGACCAGCCCTTCCATTCGAGGACAGATCTATATATATCTGAAAGCAATTAAGGATGAATTTCTTACGGATCTCCAGATAATTGTTGTAAGGATATTTTTTCTCTGTTTTATATCACATTCATTGGAAATGTTGCCTGCGGGTGAAAAGTCACTGTTGAACTTTTATAAACTAAAAAAATAAACGCCAACTTTAACTCAATTTACGAATAAACTTGTTCATTGCATTTTCAAAAGCCTATTTAAAGCATGTTTGATAACGAAAAAGGGACCAAGAGAAAACTGTTTGCACACCAAGGGATTTGTTTAGCCGCACTAAATATTAAAAAAGTAACAGCCTATACATGTCCCACTGCTGGGCAAAGACCTCCTCTGTACAGAAGGTACCAGGGTACCACCACGCAGCCCAACTGTGGATTGGCGGACTTAAAATATCTTTGAAATATTCTTTTGTTGTTAATTCGAAAATGTGCAGGTTTTCTTACGATCGTGGAGCACGTGATAAATTCTACACTTAAAATTAACAATTTCATTGTTGCCTGCACCAGGGATCGAACTCAGGTTGCTTGAGTATATTGAATTCCAGCCATCACGGTTCATGCCTCACGGTCACACTGATCTATCACGGCTCAAAAATTTATATCAGTAAGGAAATGTAATCAGTTGATATGTGTTTTATAGACGGCAATAACTTACTTTCGAATTTAAATGCCATTCCTATGATAAGGAAGAATAGTAAAAGACCATAGGCGGGTCTCAACACGCAGGAATATATGGCTTTTAGGGTAAGCGGAGGCGATACTCCATCCATGTAGAAAATACTACTTAATAGTATGATTCCGATTAACGCAGGCAAAATAGCCCAGTAAAAACATTTGTATTTCTGAAAATGAAAAAATATTACCTTTAAACATAAATTTTTGCTCATTTTATTTTTTTTATTCTTACAAAGCAATTAATTGGACTACAAATGTATTAATTAAGGATTTAATCGAAAAATATCATGCACTATTTTTATAAACAAAAAATTCCATGCCTTTTGTCTAATTAAATGCAGAAGTTTACTAATTATTTAAGGTCATAGAGAATTATAATCCTTTTGTATTAATTACTTTAATTAACAGATTACAGAGTTTGTTTTGTAATAAATTATCATATATAATTAATGTACGGTTACGTGTTTCTTCTTGTTTAAGTTTTTTAATGAATAATACTTTTGTAATGGCCTTTATATAATTAAACGCAACTTATGGTATGTGTAGAATTAAAATAATGTAACATTTGGTGTTAACATACTCTACTTTTCACTACATAGTATAAAACAAAGTCGTCGATCTGGACACATCCCACTAAACAATTTTGCATACCTTATGGGTAAAACAAATTCCCCGAATTGTGAGGAGTGTGGGGTCACAGAAGATGTATACCACGTTATAGTGGAGTGTGTCCGGATCGAAGTTGAGAGGAGATCATTTACCTCTCAAAATAATATAGATCTATTTGAAATTGGCAAATGCAACTGTATCCGTGCGCACCCATTATCAGATGTAGCAAAGACTGTATAAGTTAGTTAAATTAGTTATTAAGCGTAGATCGTAAGTTATTTGTTTATATATTTTGTAAATGCCTATGAGGGTGGCATAATCATGTTTGATTAAACCCTCCTTTTAAAAAAAAATAGAGTTAAAAAAAAAAAAAGTCGTCCCGCTGTCTATCTGTCCCTATATAATCTTAGATGTATAAAACTACGCAACGGATTTTGATGTAGTTTTCTTTAATAGATAGAGTGATTCAAGAGGAAGGTTTGTATGTATAATTCGTGTATAATATAGTAGAGAACCACTGATAATTTTGGATGTGATTTCGAAAACAAACATTCAGCATTGCACCCGCGCGAAACCGGGGCGGGTCGCTAGTAGTCTATATACTATTAGTTTTTATGTGAGAAGGTGGCAAACTCAAGCTCGTTTCACACGATGTTTAGTAATAATCACCGCCCACTTTTGTAACACGCGTAGCGTTTCACATGCGTTGCCACCTTTGAATAAAGTGGGCCCCGGCTACCTACATCACGAGACAAAATGCAGAAGTATAACACTTTCACTTCACGCCGGTCTTCTGTGATGTCGTGGTATTTACCCGCACGGACCTGCCCATTCCTGCTACAGCGAAGACTGTTACGTGGCCCTACCGCTGTTAACATACATAATGACGGTCAATCAAGACACTCAAAGGAGAAGCAGAGGTTACGTATCTCATTACATAAATATCTCCCCTGTCTTATATAAAATTGCAAGGACATACACGCCCATAACAGTGAAGAGGATTACAACAACCTATATACCTTGTATACCATGATATTGAAATTCCTCTTTTGCAGTTGGTATATAAGAAGGCCGAGGCTGATGCCAATTATGAAACAAGGTAGGTTGAGATGGCCGCGCTTGTAGCTGTTGTTGAAAGTCGGATCTTTAATAAAATGCCCACGGGCGACCCTGCAAGATGAAACGCATTCAAGTGTATACTGGTAAAAATTTTATAATCTTTCTACTGTAAGAAATTTTCATTTAAATGACCACTTTACGCTTTGTAAATATACAGGTGAAACTGTATGATTAATCAATATGTTAATTAAACTTCTGCGGTTGGGAATAAGTGATTTTAACAGAAAGAAAAAAAGATACGTTTACTTGTTATACATGGTACAATATGGTCTTTAAAGCTGTGGAACCCTTATGTTCTACCATTTCTGGTGTACAAATATTACATTTTACATTAAAAACATGCAAAAGAAAACAAAACAGAAGTAAATATAATGTAGGAAAATTGTTTTTATAAATTTTATTATTTAAATAATCCCCTGTGGAATAATAACATTTACTTATCAAAAAGTTAAACGAAATCTCGTTTAAATTTTTTGAACAACAATTTTAATAATTTTAAATTCAAAGTTTTTAATCTATTTGGTAATTAATTATAAATCCTAATCGCCATACAATAACAGTTTTTGCTGAACATTGTAGTACGATGTAGCCTCCCCGGCTTGTGTAGTTTGTTCGCGAATCTACTATTTCGATTGTTTATTTAACACATAATAACTTTCATATTACAGATATCTAACACAAACAGGTTTCCAAGAACGGATCATCATCATCATCATTTCAGCCTGTTTGAGTCCACTGCTGATAGGCCACCCCCATAGACTGCCACGAAGTACGGACACCGATGTCAAATTAATTTTTAATGAGTAGTACCTGGAGGACCGAGCTTCGCTCGGTTTTTTTTTTGGTAAATCATGATAAAAAATATAAAATAAAGAAAATGATCTGGTATAGAAAAAAAAAGTAAAAAAAAAATAAGTGTGTAAATGATCGTAATACGAACCGCGGCCGCCTGCTTTGGGGCCGCCCGATTGCCGACCGAGCTATTATAACATTTTTTAAAGCGGAATTTACTGCCATATTCGAATGATATTTTTCATTCCCTGAAAACAGGGATAAAAGGACATTTTCTAAAACCTAGCTAGATCGATTTTTCGCCCCCGAATGTACTCACTAAATTTGTGTTGTAAATACTAAATTTCATGAAATTCGCTGGAGCCGTTTCCGAGATTCTGATTATATATATATATTTAATTATATATGAATATGTATATAACTTTTATTTTAACTTAAAATTTGATTTGAAATTTTTTACACCTGCCTCTTCTGTCTCTGCGTCGCTCATAGGTTGACTGGTAGAGAATGCCTTAGGCATAAATTCGCCTATACACAACGCTAATTTTTTGGGTAAAAGTTTAAATAAATAAAAAAATAAAATAAATATATACAAGAATTGCTCGTTTAAAGGATAAGGTAGTATCAACAACTTACTCTGGTGCAAGAATGATATGGGCGTGCAGGTTTTGAAAGTATGTGTGGAAAGCGGGCAGGCTGAAGGTGACCAGAAACAAAAGCGACAGGGCCACTTTCCTGGCGTAGTCAGTCTTCGCTAAAACCAATGTGAAAACTCCTAGTATGTACAACTGCATGTCCGCTGCAAGGTACCTGGAAAGACAAATTTTAAACAACAGAATATTGAAGCAATATTAATACCGGAAATTTGTGTGATAACACTTTCAAGTTTTGAGGCCTGGTGAGAACAAAAAGTGTTATAAAGCTTCTAGATATTACGTAAATAGTCCCTAGGATAAGAAGGAAAGTCCAAGACAATCCACCCACTTAAATACTTTCAGCGGATAGAGTGATATTGCGTTTCGTGAATAAACTAATAAAAATTGTTAACGAATTCAATACAAACTAGTTCAATGAAAGGATACAATGAACTTGGTTCATTCAATACATCATGGAACACACGGAAATCATTATAGAGGGTGGTCCTCCATAACAAAAACATGCAGGCATAACATCATCATTTGCTATATACATGATCATAGAGATTCTTAGAGAGAAGATCTTAGAGATGAATCTTGATGATGATGAAAAATGTGGCTTCAAAGAATACTCTTTAAATCAACATTTTTACATTTAAGGAGTAATAACTAAACTGCTTGTCACAGTTACAGTAGTAACCAGAGGCCTACTCTCCTGTAGCGTACTTCCAAACGCTCTGTTATTGCGTAGGTCTATCGACCGGGTGATTACTTACTTAACAGACAAATTAACTCATCTTCTGCTATGAAAAAAAAAAAAGATATAATTTCAATACCATGTATGCGCCATGCATTGAGTGTTGTCGTAGTAATTGTTTATGTAGATCAAGTTTATCCATCCATAACGACGACAATCCCGAACTTCAGGTCGAATCGTTTTCTAAAATTTAAAATATTAATGTCTTTAAAATTTGTAGAAAATTGGGTGAAGAGTTTTTCCCCGCTGTGGGAATCGAGCCCACGTCATCGGGATTCGGACTTTTTAAAAACTATAATTAGTTAATAAAGAAAAATAGAATCTCACGTATTTTAACTACATAGTTTTATCGCGTTCTAAGCGATGCTTGCTATTATTATGTTCTTTACAGCACACAAATTTCAAATGTCGTTTTATCAAAATGTTATGATTCGCACAAGAGATGAAGCCATTGCTATTTCAAATGCAAATTTTATATACGGCCCACAAACAAATTCAAATATCGTCCATACCTGCCAGAATGGTCCTGATCCTGAGAATCTGATCCAGGTCATCGTGAAGATTAGCACTATCGTGTATGTTGGTGTTAATCTTTAAATAACAGAATAATCGTATGACCATAACTTTTAAAAAACATAAGTTTAGTATATTGATTTCGATGTAGTTACAATTTGTAACTATATCGTTGATTTTGTGAATATAAAAAGGTTCTTCTGTGTCGGTGGTCGTGGGTTCGATCCTCACACGGGACAGCTATTAGTATGATAGCTGTTTCGCACCTGGGTGTTTTTCCACGTATAATGTTATCCTAATGTAAGGGCAATGTTATTTTAAAAAATAGAACCAAAAATAAATACGTCGTTAGGAATTTTTGTCACATGTTAATGATCTCGGTGAACTTGGTAGAAATACAAACCTGGTATTGAGTTATCATATTATAACATTATCATCGGTTGCTATATCGTGTGCAGTTACTTTATATAATTAAATTCGAATTTCTTAACATTAGGTGCAAAATCGATTCAATTGTTTCACTATACTTAGACGAAATAATGTCACTTTTGTGGCTTTAATGAAGTACATTTTTTTTCATTTAATTTCATTACCTCAAGTATCTATACAAGATCAATTTGGGTATCATCTTCCAAGACAAGTTTTCCTTTTCAGATGATTTTTGTAATTGGTATGCCAATAAGCATCCAGATAGAATGAAAAACGTTTGTACTGCTACTGCGCCATCCAGAAGAATGTGGTAGAGGAGATTGTCAAACATCTGGAAAATACAACTTTTGTCACTGTTTGTCGTTTTTGTTATATTTTATTAACTACAAATTATTTATTTAAACTATTAAACTGTGGTTCATATTTTATAGAGTAAAAGTAACAAATATATATATATATATATATATATACACATTGAGCTTCCTTATTCCTTATAGCTCGTAGAACCGATAACCGCTTGGGAAGGAAGTTCTCGAGTGGCAGCCTCGAACTGGCCATCGCAGTGCAGGACGATCCTCCACTAGATGGATTGACGACTGTGCAAATGTGCGGGAAGTCGATAGATGCAGGTGGCTCAGGATCGTGCTTCGTGGCAGTTTGTGGGGGAGGCCTATGTTCAGCAGTGGACTCAAACAGGCTGAAATGATGATGATGATAATACATACATTTATTAAAATAGCTCCCTTTAAATAAAGGCTATCATTAAATTATTGTTTTTTGGAAAAATAATTATGATTAATAGTCATTTCTTATCATAGTCCGTGTCGTGAGGTCGTTTGTGTAATAATACAAATAATTATTAAATGCCTATGCGTGCATCATCATGCATCTCTAATGTAGTACCTACACGGGTGGAAAAAACGAGGGTCTTGCCTTTTTCGGAAAATTGGTGAAATATTTTGCTTATTCAAGATTTTAAACTGATGGAGTCAAATGGGTACAACATCACAAAAACTACTCAAGAAATAAATATCACAAAAACTGCTTTAACTGGTAAATACCTTAAAAAATATGGACTGAACTGACCTTCATTTAAGATTATTTGCGGCGCTGTGTACTTTCGAAATCAGCAGCACTAATTAAAATAAAGAACTTCCATTTCTTCTGAAAATCTAAATTTGACCAACCTTTTCAAATGCGTAGGGGTTATCCAATGCAACGACAAACGTTAGCGGGGAGTGCTCCACTATCACCAATAATATGGTGATAGCCCTGAGAAAGTTATTAATTAAATTGACTAACATTCGCATCATCGACAGTGGCACCTCCATGCCAGCTTTTAAATATTTTTTTAATTATAAACATTGCCTTTCATCAGGAGGATTGAGCAAAGATTTCCTCTTTTTACGATCCTTGTATCATAATAATTTATCACTCGTATTACCAGTCCGTGAGAGCCGTGATAGCTCAGTGTCCGGGCGCTCGCCTTAATTCAATGTATACTCGAGCAACATGAGTTCGATCCCCGGTGCCGGAACCAATGAAGTTTTTAACTTTAAGTGCTGAATTATCACGTGCTCGGCGGTGAAGGAAAACATCGTGAGGAAACCTGTATATTTTCGGAATAATGACAAAAAAAAAAAAATGTATTTCGAAAATATGTGAAGTCCGCCAATCCGCAGTGGGGCCGCGTGGTGGACTATGCCCTGATACCCTCTGTATAGAGGAGGCCTTCGCCCAGCAGTGGGACATGTATAGGCTGTTACTTTACTTTTTACCAGTCCGTATACCATGAACGTGCTAGTTGATTATGCCTCGCAAGCTGTCAATAATATTTATTATTTACCAGTCACAAGAATGTTCTTCGTTCTGGTGCGATTTCGAAAAATAAATTTTAGGGAAGTATGAAAATTATTTATCATCACGACGTGTTACAGTCTCATAATTTAGCAACAAAAAAAAAAATGATTTGTTCCTTGTGAATCTATAATATGATATATATTTATTTAATTATAATATTTTATCTTCTCAAATTAACCTCGCACTCTTCTTTCTGTTTACCTTCAATCACATATTTTTCTCACCAGGTTAGCTGGCAGAGAACTCATGCATTGAGTTAAGCTTACCTTTTGTACATTACTTACATTTATATTTTTTTTGTATCCTATGTTTTGTGCACAATGAAAACAAAAATAAATAATTACTTTAGTCCGTTGAGACCTCTCAGACATTTGGATTGCGGTTCAGCATTATTTCCTGGAGCTTCTGTTAGTCTGATCCAGTTGCGCTTTATTGAAAAGCATAGTAGGTATCGGTTCGCTGTAATGCAAGATTTCATTTCATGAATACATCGATTCAAATTCCTGCTCCTAAATTTTAAATAGCATTTGTTCTATACATAGTCCTAACATAATTAATATCAAGCGTCACTAATAGGAGACTGCGACAGGCCGGTGAAGATGAATACAGGTTTTCGATACGTGAAATAAATACAAGTTATTTGGGAAGCTAAAATTGGACGTTAGGTGCGATGACATTTGTAGTACATGCATAAATGAGTGTGAATTATTCAATTAAACTAATTAAAGTTTTTCAATATGAAGTGTTTCTGGTAAGGTTTTTATACTGACCAACGGTCATGCAACATATTTTTCACGATATTATTAAATTGTGGGGAACAATTTTCGTGTAAATGGATCTGCACAATCAACGGCAAAGTTTATTTATATTTTTTTGTATAATATGTACAATTATCATTTGGCAAGTAAAATAGCCTACTTATAGGTGTATCGGTCAAGAATGGTTGTTACCCGGTTAACATTATTTGAGGAATATGCATTAAAATATAAATTCCGTGGAAGACATTAAATCATTCTGTCTACTCTATGGGTTTCTGTACTCCTGAGTCAGCGTTCGTATACTCGTATATATATTATCAAAGAGACAGAGATCGCGTATAAATTGATGTTTTTTGTATTCAAATCCAAAAATTAAAGGATTCCTAGTTTGTGGTAGCACACAACCATTTTTAGGGTTCTGTACGCAAAGGGTAAAACGGACCCTATTACTAAGACTCCACTGTCTGTCAGTCCGGAAAGTCAGTCAAAAAAAGGACCTATGTATTTATTATGTTTGATCTAATGACCCGGATGGTGTAAACTTAACTGCCATAACTATAATACGGTATAATAAACCTTACATTCACCTTCGTCGTTGTTCTTGACAATAAAGAAATCGTAAAGATTTCCGATGAGGTTCAACAAAATTAAGCAGATAAACACGACAGCCGCAGCTATATCGGCCGGTTCTAATTTCATCGCGTCGCCATCGCTGCAGATCGGATCTTCGTTTAGTCTTGTCCTCAGTTTGTACTCATTCCAGAAAGTGTCGTTAAGACAACCTTCTACTTCCAATTTAAGGTCTTTCGTTGCGTTCACGTTTAACCAATTGTTGCATTTATTCGATATGCAAATGCCGTGGCTCAGTCGCGTGTGGTTGAAGTGAGTTTCTTTACGCATGGAGTACTCCTGTAAAGTCATTTAAGATTGTAATGTTTTATGATTTATCAATTTCCATAGGCCAAAAAAAAAGACACCCTGGCACTAACAACTGTGTTTAGTCAAGTTTTTTATTTTAAATGAAACTAATTTTACGGATTTATCGCGTTCATTTTTAATTTTAATTCCCGACGTTTCGAAACCTTTGATTGTCATGGTTAACCCAGTCTACAGTCAGTTTTTGGATTATTAATTTTGTGTCCGATCTATGCAGGAGCTAATTGTACCTTGTTTTACAGTAGTGATTCGTTGGCGCCTAGAAGTAATTCTATTGATGATCCTATCATCAATACCCAAGCTGATGGTAGCACCCAACCCTCTTCTCTATTGAAATTAGGGTATTTTTTTTAATTTCAATAGCCTCAAGAATTATTTTAATTTTTCTAATTTGATTTATTTATAATGTCGTAAATACAAGAAATTATCAAGTTTCTAATTATATGCTCGGAGTGTGAAGTGGTAGACGACGAACATCATGTGTTAACGGAGTGTGTTCGGAACAAGGCATTAGGGCAAGATATTATGAGATCGAGATTGAAATGAGCATACATCCAACGCAGGGACGCGTTGGATGCATGCCGCTAACGACCGGTCGAAGTGGAAGTCAATGGGGGTGGCCTATGTTCAGCAGTGGACGTCCTACGGCTGATATGATGATGATAATGATTATGAGATTTATGTACAGTCACAATGTAGGTATCTGTGGCATTCTGGCGTCTCCGCTGTCTGAAGAGGCCAGAATTCTAATTAAATTGTATCTACAGGTGGTATGTGTGTAGCGGCGTACTCCAATCTCTTCATTAAGGGGATAGTGCAGGCCGGGACATGGACTTTTTTTTATTACTGTTAAGTAGGAGTAGATTAAATTACTATTGTTGCGACTATTAAATAGGGGTGTCATAGTCACTGTGTGACAAAACCTCTTTCTAAAAACAAAGATTAAAGAAAGAATTAATTGCTATTAACTTGACACGGTCTTATTTTAACAAAGAGTCATTCCACTAGGCACCATATTAGACGGCAAAATTTTTTGTAATTTTGTTTCTTATGATTTTTTTACACTTCACAGAAAAAACTATTTAGCCAGGTATAGTTATAGTTATAGTTAAACTGATGTTTTTGCTTTCAGTCCCGAGACTATTAAAGCTTCATCTGACGCAGAACCGGTGGGCTAGCCAGAACCCACGGGTTTGGGGTTTAGCCAGGATTCCAGGAACAAATGAACTAGTTTCTTGTAGGACCGCTTTATGGGCGGTGATTTCATAGATGATTTTCACTAAAAGTGATCAAAAAATTGTTGAGAATAATATATCCATATTTATTAACTGTTTATTTTTATGTCCTGTACAAAAAATTAATGAGTAATTTTATAAAGTATCAACTTAGGGGTATTGAAATTGCCGATGGAGATTTCTGGATAACTGAATAAGATAAATATTGTCATTAACGTTCAGATTTTAGACCAGTACCGATCGGTTCTCTTAATAAATACTGTTACCAGGCATTCCGTTGTTGAAATTTTAAACAAACTTCAAATTTAGATCTTTAGTTTGTTTTTTTTTAAGGAAAATAACGCCTACCAGTATAATGTTCATGAGCTCGCTGTCACCTTCTGCGACTAAGTCTATTTGTACGGAGCAATATAAACCTTTTCGATGAATGCATGATTCGTACGGGTCAAGATGGAATATCGGGGGCATTCGGTAATACTCCGTGTCTGAAAATAAATGTTTTTGTGTAAAAAATGGGTATAATATTATTATTCAAACTAAATTGTATTTTTAACATAATGGATTTAGAGATATATACAGCGTGTCGTTACCATCGCGACAATAAATGAACACACATATAGGGGATAACTTTTTAAAGTTGTATTAAACATTTAAATTCTTTAAACATCAATATTTACAGAGATATAAAATTTTCCAAAACAAAAATTTTAGAACACCCTTACCTATAAAAGCGTAACGTAAAGTTCATTTGTAAAGGTCACAAAGCATATGAATGGGTTGAATGAAGTTAAAAGAGACAAAACATACTGTTAGAAGGAGAGGCTTGTAATACGACGCTGTGGTGCGAGTTGTATAGGATGTTTGACAAATTTTGTTTCTTTTTTACTTAATTAGTTTGTTTAAAAAATATTTTTTTTTTAATTATGGATTTTGTTTAACGTTAACATTTTTTTATGATGATTGGCAAGTAGCGTTAGTCGTGTGTTCATTTATTGTCGCGATGGTAACGACACGCTGTATATTCGATTAGGTGACATTCTTTTTAACCGACCTTTTCATCTTTTTGATCGAATATGTAGCCAAAAGAAATTCTGCAAATTCGATCGCTTACCGAATCCAATTGTCACGGAACTATCTCTGTCGCGAACTTTAACAACTAAGGCTCCTTGAAACTAATTTAAATCGACCTCTACGAATGTAATTGTTAAAACGAACGCTTAGTTAAGGTCTTGAATGTTTTCTGGTTCATTTGAATATTCTTTATATTTAAATATTACAACAGGAATCGATCGACCGATAATTTTCTAAGAACAAAATAAATTAAACAGAGAATAAAAAAAAAACAGAGAATGAGAATAATTAAAACATTAGCATTGTGAGTTCGATCCCCACTATTGGAAAAATATTTTGTGAAGAATATGATGTGCTTTATAATATGTGTGTGTTTGTATGTTCATAATATGTATTTATTTACAAAAGAAAATTATGTTGTTGCTTGTTAATGCGTCGAATTTTCTCACAAAAAAGCTATAGGATAAACTGACCTTTGTTCACAGGTCATGCACTGATATAGTAAACTTTCAATAACTACTTACCGTTTAATTGATAAATAACCGCTGAAGCCCCGCAAAATATGGTGAACAACATCAAAACATTCATCCTTACGATTTAAAAGTGCACGGATAACTAATAAACCTGTTTCTTAAGCCGTTCTTGAGAGACTTAGTTAGTGTATTGAAGGTCTTTAAATTCTTATCTCGTGTAAATCAAACAAAACTCCCACGCGCGTTCTTTTCAAATATGCTCAATGAATGTAGTTGTCAGTCAGTTTCATATAATAAATATTTAACGAGGGGGAAAAGCTTATTCGTTATTATAACCCGCCGTTCTAGCAGATGTAGGTAGAGTGGTCCTTGTCAGCCCGGGGACCAGACAGGCAGCAGGCAGGATGCTCGTCCGGGGAAGACCCGGCCACACAGAAGACTAGCGTGAAGTGAAAGTATTTTAACTATACCTTCAGTGAGTGGGTAACGGATTTACACTTTTGGGATGGACGGTGATTATTAGACTTTTTTTTATGTGAGAGAGTGACAAACGAACGGCCCGAGACAGTACAACTGCATATCCGCTGCCAAATACCTAGAAATGAAAAAGGTGCTCATGTTATCATAATAAAAAAGACTGCATTTTAACTAATATTTTTTTTATGTGAAAAGTTGCCGAGCGAACAGACGATTCACCTGATGTTAAGTGATCACCGCCGCCCACGGACATTTGTAACTCCCGTAGGGTGCCAAACGCGTGGCCACCTTTAAATAAAGTGGACCCCGGCTACCACACTCACCAGATGAAACGCAGAAGTTGTAACACTTCTACTTTACGCCGGTCTTCTGCGAGGTCGTGATACTAATACCCGGGCGGACCTGCCCATTCGTGCAACAGTGAACACTGACTCGTGTGACGCGCGCTTGCTTGCTGCCTCCTCGCAATGAGTAAATCGTTATATTGTAGCCGACAGCTATAAAATTTACGGTGCTATCATATTTATATACAATAAATGAAAACGCATGTCAGGTATGCAATGTCTGAGCGACTAAAGACGATCGAATCGCGTGTTCGATTCTGTGTAACCTCGAGTTTTCAGTTCTTAAAATTTCGTCAGGGTACAAGGGTCAAATATGTTTACTGCTCCATTATAATTTAAACTAAACTGGATTTAAAGTTATTGGACTATTAAAATATGGATGTTTCTTTATATTACCAAGTGAACAGATTTAAAGCTTATTTTCTAATACATTAATATTATTTCTTCATCAAATCCGAAAGTAAAAGCTTCTCTTAGCTGTCTTTATTAATACATATTATTTAATTAGAAACTAAAAAGAGGAGGAGGTGTATAAAACAAAAAATTCAGTATACATAACATACTGAAAGTACTAACCAGTATATAACGTTTATGTACAGTGTTTCTATGTTATGATTTGTGTGCTTAGACTTCTCATTGTCCCGGAAGGTCAGTGAATCTGGTTGTTGCATTGAGCGTGGGATGAATTTGCAATTAATTTTTAATATTTTTTTTCAGAATGACAAAGAATTTGAACAATTACCACAGAAAAAGATACTATCTAACAAGGCAATGATTATTATTCCATAAATAAACCCTCTGTTCTCTTAACGTAGGGAATATATAGTATAAAACAAAGTCGTCCGACTGTCGGTCTGTCCCTATGTATGCTTAGATCTTCAAAACTACGCAACGGATCTTGATGCGGTTTTTTTTACTGAGTGATTCAAGAGGAAGGTTTATATGTATAATAAATAGCACCCGTGCGAAGCCGAGGTGGGTCGCTAGTAGACTAAAAAATATATTCCAGTACACGCTCAGCCGTACCGAGCCATGATACCACAGTGTCCGGGCGCTCGTCTTAATTCAATATAATCAAGCAACCTGGGTACGATCCCTGGTGCCGGCACCAATGAAATTGTTAATTTTAAATGCTGACTTTATCACGTGCTCAACGGTGAAGGAAAAACATATTTTCAAAATAACAAATAAAAAATATTTCGAAGATATGTGAAGTTCGCCAATCCGCAGTGGGGCCGCATGGTAGACTATGCCCTGATACCTTCTGTAAAAAAGAGGAGACCTTTGCCCAGCTGTGTGAAATGTATAGGTTGTTACTTTACTTTTATATCTATAGTATCGTAATCATTTGATCGACTTTTAAGTTGTACAAGTATACTCTATTT